AAATCTCATCTAACATATGAGTTATAACATATAATATTCCACCAAAATAACATGTCGCACTTAGATCCAACATATAGTGAAAATTCACACACTTATATAACATATATATTCAAATGTTCAACTTAGAATTCCAAAGATTGAGTTAGGCGAAAAGAAAAATCGGAAAATAGGCGCATTTCGCAAACCAAAGAAAAAATGACACAATTTGACCTCCAACCCGGTACCTTGTAGCGGTCGACCAGGCGAGTGCATGCTGCCTGTTTTTCTCACCGGGCCAGGGTCAAAGTAGGTTGACCCGCAGGTTGACAACCTTGTCAATTACAGATGGCAAATCAATCAGAATTCCAAGTTGTGTTTGAGTATCAGTGATCCGATAAGAAAAACTGATTCTAGGAGTTGTAGTTTGTATAGAATATTCTCCCCGTGAAATGAATAAATCACAACTTAATCACAAAATATCATATTATAAAATTTTTCAATGCAACATTTGATTCGATTTTACAATCATTAATTTTATCTATATCAAACTAAATTTACGAGAACTATTTAGACCGGCACAATAACTCTAGTAGTGACTAGCCACATTACTGAAAATAATAATAAGCATTTATTTTTTAGTAGACTTAATTCAAAATCTACAAATTTATGTTCTAATGTGTTTTAAAAAATTGCAGGATATTATAAATAAGGACTTTGCTATGGTGACATGCACTTTCCGGTCGACCTCATATAGGATTAGGTCGACTTAATCTGTTGTTTCAGTTTAAAAACAGTTTCATGGTGCCTACTTTGGAGATTCATATCTTACAATTGGCTAGATGGAAATTGGAGATTAATGGCTTGTTTTGAAGCTGAAGTGTCCCTCTACACATTAAAGTACTTGGGAGCTCGATAGGAAGTCCAGAAGACCATTTTTGAACCTGATCAAAAGGCTATGCCAAAACTAGGAAACTGTCTGTAAATGGCCAAGTTTGGGAACGTGTTTGTGAAGCCTACTTTGGAGCTCAATTTGAGAAGTATGGATGCAATTCGAGTCCAGGGGCCTCTACCACGTTAAATTAGATATATTTGTCTACAAAGGAAAGACATTGGATGAAAGATCGGATATCTTTAAGGCTTCAAACAAAAGGCTAGAAGTTGCTACGAAGGCTTTTTTCTAGCAACTTGCTTGTGCTCGAAGTCTGCCAGAAAAACAGCCTTCGTATCAACTTCGACCCTTTTGTTTGAAGCCTTACAGATATCCAATATTTCATCCAATGCCTTGAATATGTATAAAAACATACCTAATTTAACGTGGTAGAGGCCCCTGGACTCGACTCACATTCATGCTTCTCGAATTGAGCTCCAAAGTAGACTTCACAAACACATTTCCAGACTTTGCCATTTTCAGGCAGTTTTCCAGTTTTGGCATAGCCTTTTGATCAGGTTCTAAAATGGTTTTCTGGACTTCCTATCAAGCTCTCAATCACTTCAATATGTAGAGGGACACTCTAGCTTCTAAACAAGTCATTAATCTTCAGTTTCCATCTAGCCAATTGTATGGTATGAATCTTCAAAGTAGGCACCATGAAACTGTTTTTACACTAAAACAACAGATTAGGTCGACCTGATCCTAAATAAGGTCGACCTGATCCTAACTGAGGTCAACCGAAAAGTACAAGTCACCGTGACATGCATGTCACCATAGGCGCACCCTATAAATAATTATCCCAGAGATGGGAATAAACAAACACATTGAAATATGATGCAGATGAGTTACACTTTTATTGTTCCTCACTCTCGGATACATATTACACCAAATTGAAGAGAACATGAGAAAAAATAGTGGTTTTCGGTGTCTTCTTCTCCAAGTTGCCTTTATAGAGGCATGAGTGCACGAGATGTGGATAGAGGTGAGCAACGTTCGGTCCGGATTGGATCGAATCAAACTCAGGAGAAACACGATCTAGTAGTGAAAGATATTTTAGGAATAATGATCAGATTAATAGTGCATTCGATATGCTTTGGTTGGATTTGGCCTGGTCTCAATATGAGTCCGGTCTATTTTTTTCAGTATTAATGTATTATAGAATTATGAGACAAAGTACCGAACCATATTATATTCAATTTAGTGTGGTCAGGTGTGGACCAACCAATTGCCCTCCGTTAGATGTGAATGCATTTTCCTCATTGATTGGTGGTAGGTAGGAAATTAGTTGTTGGGAAATGTACATCAACAAAATATTTCATCATATTTCCACTAGGAAGTTTCAAGTTCGAATGTCTTAAATAGTAAAATAACAAAAAGTAAACTCATATCATGCTTATAAATAATCATTGTTAGAATAAACACCTAGTGAAGTAAAAATAGCAAATGATTCTCTGTTAAGTTTTTGGCTACTGACTCGTTAAAAACCTTACTAGAAAAACACAATGAAAAAAACCTTAGTTAAAGAAAATAGTGTGTAGTGCGTAAAGTCTCATCCTTGTGGAGAGGTATATCAACAGTTTGAAGTCATCAAACTCCAATAAATTTTCACATGAATTTGTGAAAGGTAGTTCAATAGACAAATACGTTGGATAACATTGTTAACAAACTTATTGGTTTCACAACTCTCATGAAGTTCATGAGTGGAAAGAAATTTTAATAGTATCAACCAAGCGAAGCCTAGGACTGGCCATCATCAGCTAAGGATGGCAACAAAACCCGAACCCACGGGTACCCATCCGACCCAATCCGGTCAACGCGGGTAAAATCCGTGTTGACGGGTTTTGGGCCGGGTTTGGGTTTAAACCCGTTCACTATTCACCGGGTTGGGTTTGGGTTTAGGTAAACCCGACCCGTGGGTACCCGCCCACCCATATAATTAATTTTTTCGGTATATTTAATATTCTAAACAACTAATCTTATTTATGTTTGTGGAGACATGTCTAATTTTTTCTTTTTAATTGTGTAGAATGAAGTTGATGTTATGGAGTGGAGAGTAAAGAAACTTAATTGAAAGGAAGAAGCTTTCAATTAAACATGTTATTTATGGATAATTTGTGATTTGCTTCAATTTTCTTGAGTTTTCTAGATTGGTGTTGAACAATTTGTATAGTTAATTTGTGATTTGCTTGAATTTTCTAGAATGGTGTTTTATATATGAATAATTTGTATTGAGAGATTGATATTTGACTTTAATTTTGATAAAAACTTATAATTATAAATTTTTTACGACAAAACCCGTGGGTACCCATGAACCCGCGGATACCCAACGGGTTGGGTTGGATTTGAGTTTTTCAAACCCAGTGGGTTTTACCCCGAGTTTTTTTCAAAGATAAACCCATGGGTTTGGGTTTGGGTTTGGCAAAACCCGACCTAACCCGACCCATTGTCATCCCTATCATCAGCCACTTCAGTAGTGAAAACCCTAGCACGCGAGGAATTTTTTCAGAGCATAGAGGAAAGATAGAGAAGGGCAGAGAGAGATTATGTGTTACACATATTCAACTTTAGCTCTTGTATATGAATAGCTTTTTGTACATATGTGAAATGATAGTAGAACAATTTTTTTTTTTTATCGATTGGAGGCAAAAGCCAAGAACAAAGAAAGAGTTACAGGGGGGTTTGGGGGAGATGGACAATGTTCCGAGGTAAAACCACACCTCGTTGATCATCCTGCAGAATGTGCATCAAAGGGGCTGGTGGGTCAACTAGTTCATACATACCATGGAGATAGACGAGACCGTGCTTCGAGAGCCAGTCCGCGATTCTATTCCCTTCACGGTAAGTGTGTACTATATTGACCAACCAGTCCTGCGTAAGCAACCTGCGGATAGATCTCAAAAGAGAGGCAAAGGGGTGAACATGGTCGAATCTATGCTGAATGAAGTCAATTATTACTATATTGTATAGACGATAAGTATACATGACTAACTTGTTGTTGCATTGAATAATGATAGAACGATTAGAAATACAAAACTAAAACACTATATTCATCATGGACTTCGTCCAAAATTCATTGTTTGTTTCATGTATTTATGTGCAACAAATTCGTGGGTCCCACGAACTTTAAGGTTCCAAATCCATAGACCTGAAAGTTACACCTCTTTAGATGAGAATTGATCATGGACTTTGAAGTCCATCATTTAAGACCAAACTATCCCTCTTATTTCATTTCTCTTCTCATACCAATGAGGAAGGTAAGGGGTCGTTTGCTTGTTGGATTTGAAAAATTAGGGTATTGAGCAACAAAACCCTTGGGATTCATGATGGATTTATAGTATTATGGATTTGAAAGTCTAGTGTTTGCATGATAGATTTGATAATATATTTATGATGGATTTGTCACATAAGCAACTAACAATTAAGGATTTACAAATCCCAAATAAATATGTGGAATTTACAAGTCCGTGAGGTCCACGGATTTGGTCCCAAAATAAAGACCAAATTCGTGAACCTCGGGATTTGGCACTCATCAACAAACAATGGACTTGTGTTAAATTCATCAACTTTGGGATTTGGATACCAAATCCATGATCCAAATGCAACAAGCAAAGGATTTAAAGACACGTATTGGCTACAAACCAAAATACTCAATATAATAAAGGCTCGTGAAAATGATGAAAAAGATGAATATAAATAAGACCATATAGATATAATAAAGACTGAGTGGTTGCTACAATTACAAAACGACGAGTAGATCCTAGTGAGAGGTTAGGGCTAGAAATTATAAACAAAAACAAATGTATAATAATAAATTTTGAAAGATACACAATTCAAAGAAATTCAGACGTTGTCATCTTCTCCCCGTCATCATAAATTCATAATCATAATCATCCACTAGAACTTTAATTTACAGAAAAATACCCATAAAACGTCCCAAAATACCCATAAAGGACCCGACCCGAGAAACTCCAATAATGAAAACAACCAGTTATAATCATAGTTGAAAATCCCCTAATTAAACACAAGCTTATGAAGCCGGCCACCATTAATTACTCATGATATTTCATCATTCATGACAAAATAACACGATTCATCTGCCTTTGGAATTAGCTGCCCGATTCCTTTGATGGAACGACCGTTCAACCCTAAGCTTCTGTGACTCCATAGTATCATTTGTATCATCGGTTTCATCCTCCTCGTCCATGTCGTCTTCCATGTGGGAAACCTGTTTCGGTCGTTGCCCGGGTAAGTTTCCCTTGAGCCACTCCACCACCTCGGTCATAATGGGTCGGTTCTCTGGGTTGGCATCGGTGCAACGGATTGCAACCATAACCGCCAGCTTCAGCTGCGACCGGTCGAACTTGCCCTTAAGTCTCGGGTCTGCTATATGGTCGATGGCACCCTTCTGAATATAAGGAGTGACCCACTGAATGATGTCACGCTTGACTCCACCAGGGAGTTTCTCTAAAGGGCGTTTGGCGCTGATGAGTTCGAGGAGGAGGATGCCGAAGCTGTAAACATCGCAGCTGTCGGAGACTTTGCCCCACATGGCGTACTCGGGAGCAAGGTAGCCGAGTGTGCCTTTCACTCGGGTGGTCATGTGGGTTACTCCATCGGGGATGAGCTTGGCGAAACCAAAGTCAGCAACTTTGGCTTGAAAGTCGATGTCGAGGAGGACGTTACTTGCTTTTATGTCCCTGTGAATTATGTGTGGGCTCGCTTCATGGTGCAAGTACCTGCATGCAAAAAAAAAAACTAATTATGATCACTAGCCGTGTAATTAAGCAAAGTTCAAGGTACATAATCTCTTTTAGATTATTGTTCACAAAAATATTTGAACTCAAGGTATGGTAGATAAAATTGACCAAAAAATCTACATACATCCTAACTCCTAAGGCACCGGTGAGTATTTTTTTTTTATTGTTGTGGTTGCAGTAGAATTATGACAGTAGAGGTACAATCACAACATTCACGAAAATGTAATTTTTTTTTGTTTAGTTAGTAAATAGTAACTCTGAAAAATTATGCAACATAGAAATCAGAAACATAACCCACAATTTTTTTTTTGTGAACAATACTAATAGACTTTTTGACTATATGATCTACAGGTCGATGAAGGTAAAAATATAATGTTAATTTGACTTCGATACAGCTCGATTCCACTTAAATTAGATCCGGCCTTTAACAAATTCAACATATAAATAAATAAAATAAATTTTAAGCCCAATAGAACCAGATCTCATATCCAATTGACTGGGCACAATTATCATTATTAGCCCATTCTAAATTACACGTAGCTCTACCACGCGCCGGATATATAGAACCTATGATCAACAATATACTCCTCATCTCTCAAACATTGGAAATAACACTTACAAACTCAAATTATGACTTGTAATTTGTCAATTAAACTCAAATTATGACTAGTGACTTGTAATTTGTTTATGAAGACTACCAACTTGGTTTTGGAAACGGGTGTTTGGTCTTGTTAGGGCTTTGGACGAGAGTGCCGTGATACCGAAACATTGTTGGCGTCGTCCCATTCCAATGTATCCTTTTACTTTCTTCCCCTACCTATCTTATATTTCGACAACGACGTCGGAAAGTTTCAATGGTGCTAACAACTAACAAGATGACGATGATAAATTATGATAATACTTCTTCAACTACTACTCCGAATCTAAAATATTATAACGAAAAAACAGGCCAAATTATATAATTAGGAATTGTTAATGACGATGATGATGATGGTGAAAGAGTAGTACTCACGCTAGGCCTTCCGCTGACCCAATGGCTATGCTCATTCTTCTTGACCAATCGAGCAAACACTCGGCGGCGAGCGGGCCGTGGAGGTGGGTGATCAAGCTGTGATTCGGCATGTAATCGTAAACAATCAGCCTCTCGTCGCCGCCGGCGTAAAACCCTCTTAGCCCCAGCAAGTTGTTGTGCCTCACCCTCCCTAGTATCTCCACTTCCACCGCAAACTCCATCTCCGCCTTCGCCGTCATCGCCTTCAGCCGCTTCACCGCTATCTGCACCCGATCCAAAATCCATCGTAAACATTTGTTAGTACGTGGTATAAAATTTTGAAGTTTTCTAAACAATTCGAGTTATTAGTGTCAAGAACCAGTTGCTCCCAATAACTCGAGTTGTTGCTGGATCTTATACCCTCTCTAACACGCCCCCTCAAACGAAAGCCAACTCATGGGCTTGAAGTTTGCACAGGCCCACCATACCATGTGCTTGAAAGATAACGGTTAATATTGGGGGTCGTGGAGATTCGAACACATGACCTTTTGGTTCGAGGCTCTGATACCATGTCAAGAACCAGTTGATCCCAATAACTCGAGTTGTTGGGAAAAGGTTTTGCTGGATCTTATACCCTCTCTAACAATTAGAGCTTTCGAAAGGTCTTCTTATTCAAATATAGATAACTCATGTTCATGATGTCAAAGAGCCTAAATTCCATTAACTTCCGCTAATACACAGCAAATTTAGTACCAGAGAGCGTACCGAAAATTTCGACACACGAAACATATGGTATTCAGAACATGTGCAAGCGAAACCTAGCTCTTACCTCGTCGCCTTTGGTAGTCCTGCCCCAATAAACGCTCCCAAAACCGCCTTCTCCAATCTTGTTATCATTGTGGAAGCTGTTGGTGGCGTAGAGGAGCTCTTTTAGGGTGTATATATCCCAAGGGTAATCCTTCCCACTACTACCCACTAACCTAATTATTCCATAAGATCAACAACATGAAAGAGGGTAACAAATTAAGGCTACGAAAATGACATAGAGATACAATTAATCCTATCTCTTACGATAGTTAATCAAAAAAAGTTTACCTGATGTTACTATTACCATCGGGCCGTCTGCTTTCTGGGAAGACGCAGCAGAAGCATCTCTGCATCATCTTCCACAGATGATGATGAAGATGGCGAGAGAAAAAAAAAACTTTGGAAAGGAGATGACTTTTGGTAGTGTTTTGAGAGGAAGGGGAAAGAACAAAGGATGGAATATCAGTGATGAAGAAAAGATGGATGATGAAATGGGGGAAAGGTGAAAGATGGATGAAACTTTTGGACTCGTTTTTGTTTGGTTTGTGGAGAAATCTAAGTAGAGAGAGAGTGAGGGTATAAGGGTGGAGGGGACGAGGGGAGTTCAGTTGTTTGTGAACAATTATGGTGAAAGACAAATTTGATGATGATGAAGTTATCTGTAATTTCTTGATGAACGGTTGAAACGTTAATTGCATTGTTTAGAGGGAAAGATCTCGTTTGGAAAATTGGTAATTATGATATATTTGGTTTCCCCACGGCGGCAGAATCGTGAGCTAGAGAAAGGGACCCTTTTTTTTCCTGCTTTGGCTTTGATTTCAGACTTTATCGATATTGTGAGTTAACAGTTTTCTGCCTAATACACAGAATATACACGGCTGCTCTACGTACCCTCAATTTGCTACTACTATATTTAATTAATGGGCATTCGAAAGAGGATCATAAGTGACCAAAGATCAAAGAGTTCAAGTTGGCATTTTTTTTTTTAAAATTAAAGATGATTGAGATAAATATCGATAAGAACAAACAAAAGGGAGTATTACAAGGAGTTGAAACACCGGAATGGAATTCCAAAGTAGAAAGAACATGTCAAAACATTCATTCATTGGCTAAAAGCATTTAAATGATTCAAGTCCAACTTGCCATTTGATTCTTGTCAGATTGTGGAACACATTTTGGTTTCTCGATTCATCACATTTCTTTCTAGCACTCTTGCTAATCGGTCTCTTACTAAGGTTGCAAATTAGTTTGTGAACGGCAATTTGCCGCCAACCAAATTGTTATTTGCCGCCAACTAAAAAAAATGGAATTCAAATTTTGAATTTTCCCTTTCTTCCCTTCCTTTCATTCTATAACTTCGGATACCATTAACTAGGGGTGAACAAACACACCCGCAAACCGACCCACCCGTCCAACCCGAACCAACCCACCCGTATTTATCGCTAAAACGAAGGTTTTGGGTTGAGTGAGGGTTTTCTTTTGTACAACCCGCCTCTTTTGGGTTGGGTTTGGATTTTGGATTACACAACCCGTACAACCCGACTCAACCCGTGTTCCAACTATTAGTATGAGTTCGGATCTAAAAAATATTTATGTAGTATATAGTCATATACTTATGAGAAAATTAAGATATTTCGCCATGTTTTTCTCTCATGATCTCCCTAATCTAATGCATTCTTCGACTTAAAGTTTAGACATAAATTGAATATAGTAATGATTCACGTAATCCTTTTTCTTGTGTACAATTTTAATAGAATAACATATGATGGATGCATTTGTTTATAACATTTTTAGCCTATTTCAACAAATATCGTGAAAAAAACAAGACATATGTTGAAATAAATAACATTTTACTAAAATTTAAACAACATTTGTAAATTTTCATACCTTTCCGGTAAGTTTTCCAGTTTTCCGGCGAAAAACACGGTGGCCCGAAAACAAATTGTGGCCGGAACGCCGCCGAGCCGGAAAAAAATTTCGGCCGGTGCGACGCCCAGCCGAAAATTTCTTTCGGCCCAGCGGCGCCGCGGCCGCAAATTTTTTTGGCCGGTCGCCGAACACGCCGTCCAAAATTTTTCCGGCGACGTGTTCGTCGGCCGGCCGAAAAAAAATTGCGGCTGGTGCGACGACGGGCCGAAAAAGATTTTCAGTCGGGCGTCGCACCGGCCGCAAAAAATTTTCGGCCCGGCAGCGCACCGGCCGCAAAATATTTTCGGCCTGACGGCGCACCGACCGCAAATTTTTTTCGGGCCACCGTGTTTTTCGCCGGAAAACTGGAAAACTTTCCGGAAAATTGGAAAACTTGCCGGAAAAATTTTCGACCCACCGTCTGTTCGTTGCAAATCGTCGGAAAAATTGTTCGAAACTATAAAAAATTGACGCGCCTGCTTAGTGATGATTCATGGATGCGTGTCCGCAATTTACGTCGAGGATGGGCTTTCCCGGTGGTTTTCCGGCGAGCGTCGATTTTTTCTGATTCAATACGTTTTCTGAAAGTTGAATATGTTGTAGATTGTGAAACTTCTTAACCAAGGATGTACATATATACGTTTTTTTTTAGTTGGCGGCAAATAGCAATTTTTTTGGCGGCAAATAGCAAGCCCCATTAGTTTGAGTCAAGTAGAGTTTTTACCTAATTTGAGCTCGAATAGTTAATAAATGAGTCGATAGCTCGAGTTCGGCTTATTTACTTAATTAAATCTTTTATTGTGTTTGACTCGACCTCGATTCATTCATTAACTAGTGAGATCGAACGGCTAGACTTAAGATATCATATCATTTAGTTCAAATTTTTTAATTGTTCATATCATGTTACTTAATAGTAATTAGTATGTGAACAATGTATGATACATAATTTCTCTTTTAAATTATATGTTAAGACATATTTAATCATGTATTCAAATTCTAAAACATCATATGTGATGAGATATATAATCTTGCAAATCAAATGAATTATCAATAAGACAATGATAATCTGTTACCCGATTCATTTGCTAATTAGTTGCTAGTTGAGATGGTTTGCTAGTTATACTGTCGAGTATAAGTTTTCTAAATTTGTTTTGAGGTGATGGTGATGGTTGTTGGGGAGTGATCAAAAGAAATAAGGTAGAAGAAATTGTTAGGTTTAGAAATAGAAGGTATGTAAAATGTATGATTTCAAAATAGTTTGACGTTTCAACTATTTGAAAATTTCTCATGACCAAAATCTCTAATTTTTGCAGTCCTTCCAAAAAATGTGGGATTGTGACAAAATCCACCACATAAATCCATCATCCAAATGATCCTTGATAATTTTTCCGTTAAAGTTAAACTCATGTATAGCAGTAAGAGTATGTATGGTGATGTGGTGTCCCATATAATGGATTGTAAAATAATGAAAACTAACAATTGAAGATTTAATGTCAAAATTCATACTAAAAGTATGCTTGTTGATCTCCAATCATGGCTTGTTGCCATTTTGCAGTTAATACAATTTCAACAATGAGTTGAATTTGATTTATTTTTCTTCTGTACTATGTAGTGTAAGTGACGTATAATAAAAAGCGACTTGGCCTGTTTGTGTGTGTACCTAAATTTTGTACAATAAGTCTTACTGCTTAGTCCAGTAAGTCCGTTTATCAACAGATAGTAAAGGTTAGATTAACGGTAGTTTCGGATCAACAGATTCACACATGTGATTACTTCCAATATTTATTACATACCATCTCTTTCCTCTCTCCAACCCTACGACCACTCTCTCATCCTCCTCCTCCTCCTCTTCTCTCTCTCTCTCTCTCTCTCTATCTATCTATCTATCTATCTATCTATCTACCCGACAAGGAGCTGTCATTGACTATTTTCCGTTGTTGTGGCGGCGAGGAGGAGTCGGCCAAGGATTCCACCGCCCCATCGCTCCACCCCCCTTCATCACGTCGCCAGAACCAGCCGATTAGATTCCTAATCCCTCGGTCGATTCCATATATGATTTTTCCGTATTGATATGTATTTTTCGTATTAATATTATTTTTTTAGTGGTATTCTTTTACGCATTGGTATTGATTATCATATAATATTGTTGCTTTTTGTATTGATGTTATCGTATAGGTATTGATCTTCATGTATTGGTATTGGTTAAATCTGCAATGATGTTGGTTAATAAGCGGTATATGTTGTTTTAGTGGTAATGTTTCTGTGTAGGCTGCAAAGTAGTATTTTTATGATTTGATATTGATTTTTTGTTTTATTTATGTAATGGTATTGGTATTCTTTGAAGTGGTAGTGTTTGTTTAATAGATGATATTAATTTTTTATTTTATTTTTGTAGTGTGATTAATTCGCCAGAACAGAGACAAGGAAAAGATTGAGAAAATGAAGGCAAAGAAGTGGCTCGAAGTATGCAAAAGTGAGAGAGTGGGAGAGAGAAAATGTCAATTAATAAGCTTTTTAACTTTCTAATATAAACTTTATAAAAAATAATTATATAATTTTTCATACCCAATTTTAAGGGTGAACAAAAGAACCCGCAAACCGACCCACCCGTCCAACTTGAACCAACCCACCCGTATTTATCGTCAAAATTAAAGTTTAAGGTTGGGTGAGGGTTTTCTTTTGTACAACCCGCCTCGATTGGGTTGGGTCCGGATTTTGGGTAAGGAAACCCGTAGAACCCGACCCAACCTGTGTTGAGCTATTGTCATAAGTGTTTGTATAAAACACATATTTGTGTCGTAAATAAACATATTTATGAGAAAATTAAGCTATATTATCTTTTGATTTCTCTAGTCTAATACATTGTTCAACTTAATATTGAGACGTAGATTTATTATAAGCTATAATTCACGTAATCTTTTTTCTTGTGTGTACAATTTTGGAAGAAGAATATATTATGAATATGTTACCTTATAACTACTTTAGTTTAATTCATCAAATATTTATGACAAAAACTAGACATATGTTGAATTAAATTGCATTTCATTAAAATCTAAACAATATTTACGCATATTGAAACTTTTTGCCTCCATTTATTTGCTTAAAATCTTAATTAGTTATATAATATTTTTGTAGTGTATAATAGTTTCCTTTTTTGTGTTGGGTTGAATATTTAATTAAAATTATTTTCATCCCGCCCAACCCAATTATAAACAAACCGTATGATTTTAATTTTTTTGGGTTGAGTTGGATTTAATATTTTCAAAACCGTAGTGTATGGGTCGGGTGATTAAAATGACCAAACGCGAACCACCCGACCCATGTACACCCCTACCCAATTTGCATTAAGTAATCACCATAAACCGCTCCAGCTTAGATACCTTATGAGAGCGGATCCCATGACCAGGGACAGGGAGGTCCTTAGTTACTTGACTAAGCCCCTTCTAGC